GTCAGATCCAGGATAGTTACTTCTTTATAGTCTGTTTTGCATGTAATATATATAAACAGTAGCCTCTTTTCTTTAGCAGTGTTAAAAATATGTGAGACTTAGAACAGAATCAAGTCTCAGCCATCATTCTGGGTGTTTGTTTGTTGTTTTAAACAATCTCAAGTAGCCTAAGATTGCTTGAAAGTTGCTTTGTAGCTAAGATTAACTTAAACTTCCTTAAGTATGCAAAGTTGGGGCATTGGTATATGCTTTTAGACTGTGGTGTTGCTTTTATTTTATACATTAGTAAATTAGATTTGTTCATGCCTCATAGCAGTTACAGTTTGAATGTATATGTGTGTGTTGGTTGGGATTACTATCTAGCCACTAAAGAAATGAAGAAGAATGATACCTAAATATTGGATGGAGTGAAGAAATAAGATTCTTTCAGGCCTCTCTTAAGTCAGTCTCTTGACTGAAATGAAGAAAGTGATTCTATTATGAGGGTCAATGTGTGGAAGCACAATTCAGATAAGTATTTCTTCAGTGGCCTATATATAACTGTGACATTATTTTTCGCTTAACACTGTGACATCATTCCTGGTAGAGGTCCCTGTTAGTCAGGCTAATGCAGTAATAGTATTCATTCACCATACAGGATGACCCTAAAAAATTTCATAGTAGTTTCAACAAGGCTGCTTCCTTCTTATCTTTTAAAATATCATAGGATTTTGGTACATTTTATTTTTAGGAATTCAGTCTCCTTATACAAAAATTGAATAGGAGAGAGTAGATGATAGTTTTTTTTATGTAGTTTTGTCTTCATAAAGTAGAAAATTAAGTTAGTGAACTCCTACCCCCAGACAGAGTTATTAATTTAACAGGCTGGCAAGCCAAGGATGGGTAAGATTCTGCACAGAGCCTTACCAACCTAAGACAAAAGTGCATTGCTTATGATAATGCATATTCCACAATGGGTAAGGAAGGCTTTCTTGTCAGAACGACCTAAGACAGGCCTAGTCTGGTTTATGCAATAAAAAGGGGAAGATGTGAAGAGCTTTTGGGGCTGCCTGGCAGGTATCTGACATAGGCCAAGGACAAGGAAATGGACTTCAGGCAGGAATCTGACATTGGGCTGGAACAAAGAAGTAATTTCAGCCAGGAATTTTGGCTAGAACAAAGAAGTAGACTTCAGGCATGAAAATGACTTTGGGCTAGGACAGGGAATTAGGCTCAGATACTTTGATCATCCTGATAAGCCCTTAGAAATAGTGATCACAGGAGTGATCATGGGACTCTGTTTTTAGTTGTGCATGTTCTTTGATTATCTTGGTTTATTGTCTTCCTTGTTCCTGGACTATTTGCATGTATTGTATTGCTAGTTCCTCAACCTGGAACTGACCTTAATACTTGCATGTAATTTACACAGTATAAAGGCAAAAAAGGAGGAGGAGGGACGGGATGGGGATTAATGGGTGGGGGATAGCATCTGAAATGTAAATAATAAAATCTTGAGTAAAAATAGTCAACTCCTAATTTTGGGTATATACTGATAAAATTTGTTCCATTTATTTTTAGGTGTCATCTTTACTGTAACCATGTATACTACAGTTAAGTTATCAATAGTTAATGGTAATAATGTATGTTGTAAATGTAAGAAATACATATTTGAAAACAAACGAACATGTAGTTTAGGCTGAAGAGATGACCCAGCAACTAAGAACATGGATGGTCCTTGCTCTTCCAAAGGTTCTGAGTTCTATTCCCAGCACCCATACCCGGTGTCTTGCAACCACCTGTTACTCCAGCTCTAGGGGATTTCAATACCTCTGGCCTCTGGGCACCTGTATTGTGTATCCATTCCTACTCACATATATACACATAATGACAAGTGGGTATGCATATGTGGAGGACAGTTTTCCTACAGTCATTTTCTTCTATCATGTGAGTCCTAGGAATTGAACTCAGAGATAGCCTTAACATGCTGAGCCATCTTGCTGGCCTCAGGATATATTTTCAGGTTAACAATTGGTATAATCTTTTGTAGTAATTTTCTGTGACACATTAACTATCATAGAATACATCCCCAACTTTTGAAGTCTGTATAATACTTAATTTTAAGCATTTTTCATGAACACTTAAAATGTCAGGATCTTATGGAATAGAACAGAACTGTGTTAACTGTAATTGAGCCCTTGGTGTATCTAAGTATTCTTTATGAATGAATATATTGGTTTTTTTTTTTTGAGTACCTAGATTTACATAGTATATTCAAACAGTTTACTTCTTCAGATTAATTGATGGTTGCTGATAAGTAGTTTTACTTTTCTCCAAATGTGGTTATTCAGTAGAATAGAGAAACCAGAGCTAAGAATGTCAGATTTTTCCTTCTTGCCTTTATCCCTGACCCACTACCCATAGAAACTGACAGCCAAACGACTGTAGGAGTCTCTGAGAGTAGCAAATTGAAATGTGTCTTCTCACCAAGCAAAAGCAGCTTGAGAAGAGAGAGAGCCTGGATGTTCTGAACCAAGGCAGTTTTTCCCCAGCGTCTATCTTGCTAGGAGGCATGAGAGCCTTTGAGAAAATGCCGTAAGCAGTTCGATGGCTCTCACCTTTCACTCTCCACGTCAGTTATATGAGGAGGTTTTTACAAAGGAGGATTTCCAAGATCTAGTTTGTTTTGGGTGTGGTTAATGTATAAGGCTTCCCCGTCACTTTGTGGCTGGGTACAGAATCATAGTTCTAATGAAAGTCCTTGAACGTAGGAAGGAGGGTTTGAGGGGCTAATGGAATGGAGGAATCTACATTTGTGCATTAATCTTGGCGTTACCCTATCCCTAACATAATCCTTTCAGTTCTATTGTGCGTCATATAGTCAAGCAGGTAAGTGTCTTGGAGTTCCACCCTTATAGCAATGGTAAGCATGGTAATCTTGAATAGGTCGTAGCCAAACTTCCAAGTGAGTTGCCCTTTTTGTAAAATGGAGGGTTGTTTTTCATCACTCCCCCCCACCATGCCCCATGGTGCTGGCCATTAAACCCAGGGCCTTGCACATTGTGCCACTGGGCTGCTGCTTCTACTCCAGAAGTTTGTTTTGAAGCTCAAATTAGATAATACATGTAAAACATTTAAGAGTGATACATCGTATGTAAGATAAGTAAACAGGTAAACAGGTAAAATTATAATAATCTATTGGATAATATGTTAGTATATACTATTGGAGAGGGTTTTTTCCCCTCCTTTTTTCCTTTTTTCTTCAAGACATGTCTCACTATGGAGCTCTGGCTGTCCTGGAACTCACTATGTAGACCAGCAGGGCTCAAACTCAGAGAGATCTGTCTGCCTCTGACTCCCAGATGCTGGCATTAAAGGTATATGTCACCATGCCCTTTTAAATATTTCATCTTGAACCTTCATTTGTCTAATACGGACTATTTCTCATTTTCTCCTAAATTTAAACTATAATACTAGATTATAGTTTAAAATGAGTTTGGTTTTTCTTGGACTACCTTTTCAATATTGGGTCACTGGATCACATAGGTATTATCCAGGCTACATGGGTGTGGTTAATATTACACAATTGTTATAAAGGGAGAGAAAGTATCATTGTATACCACTGAGAATATGTAGATTCGTCATTAATTGGCTCACTTTAGTCAATAGCTGGGCAAGAACTTCTGCCTGTCTACTTCTGGTAGACTAGAATAGTGTGGAATTAACAGACCAGTAAAGAATGCTCTTAGGGATTACCCAGTACGTAAACATATTTAAGGCATAAAAAAAACATAGTTTATATTTTTCATGATCAATCTGGTATAATTAGATGCCATTTTGGGAGTATTGATGACCTAATAATAAGTGTTCATTCTTCCACCCCCTTTTCCCCTTCCTCTCTTCCTCCTTCACAGCCTAATGAAAGTAGATAATTTGGCCATTAGCAAGGTTGGTTTTGCATCCTTAGAAAAATTCATTGAATTGCCTAGTGTGTGCAAAGGAAGACCCTAAATTTTTTTCTCTATCATGGCAAAGGACATGGGGAGCGGGGTGGAATATAGCTCAGTAGTGGAATGGTTGTCTGGGGTATATGAAAAAAAACTGTTTCCATCCCCAGCACCATATAAACAATGAATGTGAAAAAAAATTTGCTGAATAGCAGGTATTGTCTTTATACATGTAATTTTTTATTTTATTTATTTATTTATTTATTTGGTTTTTCGAGACAGGTTTCTCTGTATAGCCCTGGCTGTCCTGGAACTCACTCTGTAGACCAGGCTGGCCTCAAACTTAGAAATCCGCCTGCCTCTGCCTCGCAAGTGCTGGGATTAAAGGCGTGCGCTACCACTGTCTGGCACATGTAACCTTCAAAATGTTTTTAACTGAGTTACTGCTCTTAGTGGGAATGGTACATGAGACATTATGATTGTACTTATGAATACACTCAGTAAAGAAACTATAGATGACTTTTATCTGATTTTTGTAGGAATATATATGCAGAAGGCATTCAAGAATTAGAATTCTCAGGAAATCGATTGTCACAAATACAGTGCCATTGTTGTTTATTCTGCTATATCATTAGTAGGATAGTAAAATGAACCAGCCAGGTGGTGGTGGCACACACTTTTAATCTCAGCATCTGGGAGGCAAAAGCAAGTGGATCTCTATGAGTTTGAAGCCAGCCTGGTCTACATAGCTAGTTTCAGGACAGCCAAGGCTACACAGAGAAACCTGTCTCCCAAGACCAAAAGGAAAGAAAAAAAGATAATATAACCTTGGTAATTGTGAAATATATACATATATATCTTCTTCTGCTCATTTTCATCAGGCCAGATCCTGTTTTATTTAAAAAGTCAAATGTAGTAAGTTTTGAAAAATATTTAATTACCAATAAATCTATTTTCCTTGTAGTGTGTTTTCCTGGCCTTCCTGTAGCTTTATGTTATCAGTTTCAAAGCAGTGATCTTATTGCCTCACACTATTAACTCATCTTTTGTTTTGTTTTGTTTTTTTTTGTTTTGCAGGAGGTGTATCGAATTCCAAAGAAAAGTCAAACTGAAAAGGAGAGCACAGGTAGGCTGAAGAACACTTGTATAGGTAGCTTTGTAAGAATTCTTTACATAATTGTGGAGACAACCCATAAGGACTTAAGTGTTCTTCCTTTTGAAGTAAACATACATAGAAAAATGAAACATTGAATGCAATAATTTGGAAGCTTGCACCTGTATTCTTTGTTAGTGTATTTTTCCAAAGGAGATTTTTCTTATACTGCCTATGTTGTTGCTTTGATAACTTATCTTTCATTGATTTGTCCCTCTAGAATTGTAAGTCTTGTTTGTTTGTTTGTTTGTTTGTTTTCTTGCTCCTCAGTGTTGGGGTTGAACCCAGGGCTTCTCACATGTTAGACAAGTACTCCACCACTGAGCTCTAACCCTGGCCTTAAAGTAGGCATTCTTAAAAAAAAATTTTTAAGGTTTGTGTATGAATGCTTTGCCTGTATCCATATCCGTTTATAATATATGTGCCTGGTGCCTGAAAGAGGCCAGAAGAGGCTCTGGAGTGGGTGGTTGTAAGCAACTATATAGGTGCTGAGGACTGAACCCTGGTCCTCTACAAGAGCAGCAAGTATTCTTGCCCATTGTGCTGTCTTTCCAGCACCACCTCTTTTTTTTTTTTTTAAGAATTACTCTTTATGGGTGTTTTGCCTACATGTGTATGTGTGCAGTATCTATGTGTACCTGGTGCCCTCAGAGGCCAGAGAAGAGCGCCAGATTCCCTAGAGTTGTAGTTAACTCATGGTTGTGAGCTGTCATATGGGTACTGGCAATCAACCCTAAGTCTTCTGCAAGAACAGCAAGCCCCAAATAGACATTCTTAAATCTATATTGCTAGAGGTATGTTGAGCAATATTTACCTCTAGCTATTCATATAGAGGGAGGTGTGTGTGTGTGTGTTCATTCTTTACCAGAGAAGGTTAAGAAATCTTACCAGAGCTGTGTATATTGGCGTATACCTTTAATCCCTGAACTCAGGAGGCTGAAACAGGCAGATCTCTGAATTTGAGGCCAGACTGGTTACAGAACAAGTTCCAGGATACCCAGGGCTGTACAGAGAAATGCTGTCTCGAAAAGACAAAAAGGAAGAGAAAAGAAAAGAAAAGAAAAGAGGAATCTTCATTGGATTCTCAAGAAATCAGTGCCTGCTGAAGTTCAGACTCTTTGTTAGAGAACAGCTAGTACAAGTCCCATGGTCGTCTTCGTGTCCTGACTTTTACTGCCTCACTGTGTTTCTAACACACTTTAAGGAACTAAAGGAATGGACTCAGTTCATGGGGCTGTGATTTGTTTCTTGAATCTTTTCTAACACTGAGCCAGTGTTGCTGGAGTGAAAAGTCCAGTGTGTGTGTGTAAAGACCTTATTTTCCATGAGCATAGGTTCTGATTCCTTAAATAAAGACCCATGTGATACCTTTTGCTTCATTCTCTCTTATGCACATCTTTAAGTTCTAATGGTTTATTCTCTTCATAGCAAGACATCTTCCTGCATGGGAAAGAACTGTAAGAAAGAAGATGGTTCTAGGCAGTTTTTTCTTGGTAGAATCATTTGCAACAATATAAAGTTGTTAGAGGCTACCAGTCTAGGCAATTAGCACTAAAGGCAAATCTTAAATATTTCAGGGCTACCACCCATGTATCTAGTCTAGTCTAGCTCTTGGAGCTACAGAGGATGATGTTTGATTTTTTTTTTTTTTTCTTCATAAGCAACCTTTTATTTATTGCTTGTGGAAGTTTCTTGTGTCATCTCAGACTTAGCATAAGGAATTGGTTTTGATTTTTCTGTGTTAAACAACTAAAAACTAGAACCTTTAAAATTCAGAGTGAGGATTTGATGAGAGAAGAGTCCATACATTTACGTTTTTGGATACAAGTTTATTCTTGATGTGTTATTTCTCTATTAAAATAAACTTTTTTAAAAAATAACTTACCTTTCTAGTAACTGAACGAGGAAGAGATGCTGCTGCCTTTAGAGATCAAACGGCTCCAAAGACTCCTAACAGGTCGCGAGAGAGAGACCCCGACAAGCAGCCTCAAAATAAGGAGAAAAGGAAACGACGGGGCTCGCTGTCACCGCCGTCTTCTGCGTATGAGCGGGGGACAAAACGGCCGGACGACAGGTAAGTGACCAAGTGAGCTTTTCTTATTTGAGCAAATCCAAACAAGTCCCTGGGCCCCATATAGTGAAAAGAGGGGCTTAAACCTTCCAGGTTAACATCCACATTTATATTGTGGTACACACACACACACACACACACACACACACACACACACACACCACTTGCACACTAAATGGATTGGATAGGAGAGGGTAGAATTTTTTTTAAGAAGGAGGACTTGTTCGGAGGAGAATGGTTTCAGAGGGAGAAGAATGCCAGGAAAGGGAGGATACACAACTAAAATTCATTATATGAGTATAAAACTTTCAAAGAGTTAAATAAAATGAGGCGACCAAGATAGCGCAGACGTTGAAGACACTTCATTTGTGAAGTAAGTACCTAAATGAAAGAAAGGCCTATTTAAATTAAAAAATAAAATCTAAATCAAGACTTGGCATGGGAGCATACAGTTAGAATCTCAGCATTTATGTGATGGTAGCAGGAGGATTGTTCAAAGTTCAGAGCCAGTCTGGTCTACGTAGCAAGTTCCAGGTAGCCAGGGTTACATAGTGAGACTCTTGTTTCAAAATATAGGCAGACACACACAGTACTGGCTTTTGGAATTAATATCTTCTGGATGAGTAAGTATAAGATTTTACTGGTAGGTTTTAAGACAGATTTTTTAAAAAAAAAAGTTTTTGCAGTTTGCATTTAATCATTTGTTTAACTTTAGTCAGGATCGCACTAGAATGCCATAACTTAGAGCAGTCTCCTGCCTTAGCCTCCTGAGTTCTGAGGTGACATGTATCAGCTACTATGCCTGGCTTTTTTATGTGTGTTGAGGATCAAGCTCAGATATTCCTGTTGGACAACATATTGGACTATTTCTTGCCCGTGTCACATTTTCTTTTCTTCATTTTTTTCATTTATTTACAAAGAAATGGGCTTTATCTGTTGTGTTTTTAAAATCTGTATTATGGAATCTGCCTCAACCCTAACGAGGAATAGGAAGCTGGTGTCACTACTTGAGACATCTAAAATCAGGAATGCTGGTGGAAGTACACAAGTATTGGGTTTCCTAGGGCTTCTCTTTATCTGCCAGATTCCTTTTTGTTTGTTTTCTAGCACCTGGTATTGAGCACAAGGCTTTGTACATGGTAGATACACACTCCACTGAGTTGTATTTCCTAGCCCAGTTTATTTTAAAGATGCGTGTGTGTGTGTGTGTGTGCGCGCGCGTGTGCGCGCGCGCCCCCACACCTTCAGAGGTCTGAAGCATTGGATCCTCTTAGAACTGGAGTTATAGGCAGTTGTGAACAATCTGATATGCGTGCTGGGAACTGAGCTGCTGAGGCATCTTTCCAGCTCCCTTGTTTTTTGTTTGTTTGTTTGTGTACTGCTGGATGTTGAATTTAAGCAATCTTGGCATAACAACCTTCATTTACTAATTTTGAGTGTGAATTTTAGGCAGTGTCAAATTAGACTTGATGTGGTTAGTGGTTTCTTCATGAATGACTTACTGTCTTATAAATGTTTTGATTATGTCCATGATTGGTAACTTTTTGTGGTATTATTTTCTTTGTAGATATGATACACCAACTTCTAAAAAGAAAGTTCGAATTAAAGACCGAAACAAACTTTCTACAGAGGAGCGCAGGAAATTGTTCGAACAGGAGGTAGCACAGAGGGAGGCTCAGAAGCAACAGCAACAGATGCAGAACTTGGGGATGACATCACCACTACCCTTTGACTCTCTGGGATATAATACCTCTCATCACCCCTTTGCTGGGTATCCACCAGGTTATCCCATGCAAGCCTATGTGGATCCCAGCAACCCTAATGCTGGAAAGGTGCTTCTGCCCACACCTAGCATGGACCCTGTGTGCTCCCCTGCTCCTTATGATCATGCTCAGCCCTTGGTAGGACATTCTACAGAATCTCTTGCTGCCCCTCCTTCAGTGCCAGTGGTACCACATGTGGCAGCTTCTGTGGAAGTTTCCAGTTCACAATTTGTAGCTCAGAATGAAAGTGTGGTACACCAAGACTCCAATGTTCCTGTAATGCCAGTACAAGCTCCAGGCCCAGTCCAAGGACAGAATTACAATGTCTGGGATTCAAACCAACAGTCTGTCAGTGTACAACAGCAGTATTCTCCTGCACAATCTCAAGCAACCATATATTATCAAGGACAGACATGTTCAACTGTCTATGGTGTGACCTCTCCTTATTCACAGACAACTCCTCCAATTGTTCAGGTAATTAATGGTGGAACTTCTCTTTTGTATTTTAAAGTCTGTTAATACCATGCTAATTAGGTCTGGTATAAGAGAAATCCTGTTGTTGATAACCTTATTTCATTTGAGGTGATAGTTAATCTGATATGAAGGAAGAAGTTCGACCATTTTGTTTGTTTCTTGGTGCTAGAGATGAAACCTTGGGACTTTTGCATAAAGTCATCAGGCATTCTCCAGTGCATTATAACCCTAGACCTTGGGTCCTTTGTATCTATATCAGTTATCTACTATGTAAAATGTTGGGGTGTAAAATGTCTAATAACTTAAGTATGTCACAGTTTCCATGAGTAAGGAGTAAGCAACTTACTTACCTTGATGGTCTGGATCGTGATCCATGGAATTAAGAGTCAGACTATTTTCTAGGATTATAGTCATCTGGAGGCTAGATTAGGAATGGAGGATTTACTTGGCAGTTTATTCACAACTGAGGCTTCCCAGTAGTACTATGCACAGTTCCTGTTACTTTACTATATTCTGTTCATCACACAGGGAGATAGGGGAGACTGCCTGAGAGTGTACACACCAGGTGGTAGTAATCACTGGAGAGCTGTCATGAAGGCTTTACCACTATAATCTATAATGAAAGTATACTTATTGAACCCTTAGTTTACTTTACATATTCTTTGTTTTGTTTGTTTGGGACAGGGTTTCTCTGTAATAGCCTTGACCGTTTTGGAACTCACTCTGTAGACCAGGCTGCTCTCAAATTCAAAAGATTTGCCTGCTTCTGCCTCTCAAATTCTGGGATTAAAGGCATGTGCCACCACTGCCCACCTATTTATGTCTCCTGAGTAGTAGATAAGTGGATTCTCTCCCCTCTCTTTGAATTAGTTGATCAGAAGTGATTTAGGAGGTTGGGTAATGAGAAACATGTAACATGCTGGTTGGTGTTTGTTTTGACTCTCAGCTATCAGCTGTCATCTACTGTATTTTTGGAGAAGATGCATATATTCTTGAGTCTTTGTTTACTCATCTGTAAAATGGCAGAATTTTTTTTTTCACTAAGATGGTAGATGGTATTAATGATGAATTTCAAAATCTTTAGTCCTAGTTATTATGCAGTTATCTTACTGGTGAAGGAAGTGTTAATATTAATGTGCTGTGAAGTACAGCTGGGCCATGTTCATCTGTTATCTGGGCCAGAGATATCATCTCTAGTAAGTGGCCTTAAGCTCTATGATGTTCAAACCCTGCTATCTACCATAACACATGGGAGACTGAGAGTTATATGTTGTGATACTCATGATGATATAATAATATGTGGTATGCAAAAATTAAATTTGCAGTAACTTTAAAATTTCTGCATGAGGCTGCAAAGGAGGCTTAGTGGTTAAGGGCACTCGCTGGTCCCTAGAAGACCTGAGTTTGGTTCCCAGCACCCATGTCAGACAGCTCAGCTCACAGATGCGTGTGGCAACAGTTCTAATGTATCTGACAACAAATCTTTAGAATTTCTGCATGGTGAGCTTTTGTCAGGCAAATTTTGATGATCGTGGTATCACTAAGGGTCAAGGAATTTAGCTTCCAAAATACTAGGTCCTTGTATACCCATTGTATGCTTGGCTTCCTGTTTTCTCTAGAAATAACATATTTCCCCTGGGACCTGTTGGGGCTTTTTTGGGGTTTGGGGGTGAGGTGGGGGTTGTTTGTTTTTGTTTTCTCTAACTTGCTTTTTGGTCTTGGAATGGTGGTGCATCTTGTAATCCCAGCATGGTGGGAATCTGAGACAGAAGGATAATGAGTTCAAGGCCAGCCTGGACCTTTTAAACTTATTCTGAGTAATATAAAAATCTTATAACATGGTCTAATAGAGTAACATCATCTAACATAATAATCTAAATGGGTCACTTTGGTTGCTCTGGTAAAGAAAATAATGAAAGTTAAGGACAAAGTAGACCAATTACAAGATTGTTGAGTAATCTACCCAAGAGAATAGTTAGTTGTACATGATATTCATGTGAAAGAATATATAAAGACAAAGCTAGCAGATTTTGTTAATAAATTAGATTGGGAAGACAAGCCAAGTTTTTCCTGCCGTCCGTCCTTCCTTCCTTCCTTCCTTCCTTCCTTCCTTCCTTCCTTCCTTCCTT